GACCGGGATGAGGTGCTCAGGGAGTTCTGGGATTGGAATTTTGCTGATGTGGGGGTGTGCTCTGATCAGGGAGGCTAGGGCCTCCATGACAATCACAAAGAGCAATGGTGCTATGGGATCCCCTTGTCTAACCGATTTTTGGAGTTGGATCGATGGTGCCAAGTGTCCATTCAGCATGATATTTGTGGATGCTGCCCTATGAAGAAGCTGCACCCAGCGACAAAAGGTCATACCAAAGTTCATTTTGTTCAAGCACATATCCAAGAAGTCCCAGTCAACATGGTCGTACGCCTTTTGAAAATCAATGAACAAGATTGTCGCATGGACCTTGCGCTGGCGGGCGTATTTGATGGTCTCGTTGACGAGCAGGATATTGTCTTGGATGTTTCGATTGGGCATGAACCTCGATTGATCTGGGTGAATCAGCATGTTCATCATAGGCAGCAGTCGGTTGATCAGAGTAATTGGTCTATAATTTCTAATGTCCTCCTTGTTCCCTTTTTTACAAAGAAGTGTGGTGACCCCTTGCCCTATCATGCCTCCGAATGAGCCTTCCTTCTGCATGGCTGCAACATATTCCATGAGGTCATTATTTAAGAGTTCCCAAAATTTCACCCAGAATTCCTTAGGTAATGAGTCTATCCCTGGAGTTTTATCGTCTTCCATTCCTTGCAGCGCCTCCCATATCTCTTGGGCTGACAAGGACTTGTCTAGCTCGTCTTTCTGTGTGGGAGTGAGGCGCGATTGAATGGCTTGCAGTAGTGACTCCCTTGTTTGCAGGGCCTCGTCTGGGTGTTGTATGGGTGTTTGGGACGTGAAGAGATTTCGGTAGTAGTGGGAGGCATAGTCATCTATGCTGTAGGCATTGGAGGCCATCGGGGCATTTTCATTTGACGGGTGTTTTAGTCTTGTGACTGTTGTTGCCCTCGATCTGGCCTTCGCCTTATTGAAGAAGGTTTTGGCCATTGTTCCATTTGTGTGTTCCTTCTTGATTCTGGCCTGAATCCTGCAGGCTTGGGCTTGTTGACCTATATAGGCTTGGAGATGGTCTCGAGCTTCTTGCATTCTTTTGAAGGTCGGGTGGTGCAGCGGATCTTCCATGAGCTACTCATCCCAGCTTTCAAGCTCTCGCATGAGGCTGTCAAGGACGACCCTTCGGTCTCTCGCGTGCTGAATAGAAAATTTCTTAGTCCCGTCCCTCTGTTGTATTATGCCTTCATTGAACCAGTCGACCATGTCCCCTGACTGCAGTTTTTGGGTTTGCCAATATCTCCAAAAATCGTTGACCGTCTCTTTGTATCGCTGTAGGGGCATTAGGGAGGAGTTAAACTTATAAAACCCCGGGCCCCTTTGAATATGGGTACGGAAAGACAGCCCCAGTGTTATCATCCTATGGTCAAAGGACTTACAAGGGCTGACAATGGCAATTTCCGTTGTGGCGACTAGACCTAGCAGGTCCTTCGATACTAGTATAAGGTCGATCCTCGAGTTGGACAGGCCACAATCACCTCTGTCGGATAGGTAGGTGTAGGCTCTTTGAGATGGGTGGAGCAGTCTGTATGCGTTTTATAGCCCTTTGTCCGCCATTAACTGTTTAAGCATTAGGATGTTCAGACCGAGGTTGGGCAGTGAAGAATCCTGAGATGTATAACGCTGTGAGGTCGATCTCTTGTCCATCCCCGGATCGAGTGTGGTATTAACTTCACCTGCCATAATGAGCGGAGCATCGCCCGGGAGATGTTGAAGGAGATGGAGCCAGAAATCCACCCTTTCAGTCGGATTGTTGGGTGCATATATATTAACCAGGTAGAATTCGTCTTCCTCATGCATGACTTTAAGGCACACCCATCTTCCGTGTTGGTGGTCAATGGTCATAATCGACTGAGAGTAGCTTGAGTCTTGAGGTGGGTGGGAGCTAGATCGCCACACCCGTCGATGCCCTTTCTCTTGCGGGTGCAGAGTAAATTGTATAAGGCCAGATAAATTTTGCTTTTGCTGCGTGTGACAAGGTATCTTGTAAATGTGTTTCTTGGACATACACAACATCCGGCCATTTATCTGTGATCTGGCATTTGAGCAAATTCCAAATGGCATTTTTCTTTTCTTCCGATGCTTGGATGAGTCCGTTAACATTGAGCGAACGGATATCTATATCGGCCCGAGCCAACTTTGTAGCCCACTGGGCCGGCTTCCCGATGCGGGAAAAGACCGGAGGGGAGGGCGGGCGTTGGAGGAGTCGAAAGGGTTGCGCTGCATTACCAAGGGGAGGCGAGGGGGGGGGATCAGGGGAAGGAAGATTGTTGTATGGTGGAAGAGAGTGGCTGATGTTAGGATGCTGCCCTGTCAGTGGGTCCTCAGTTCGGTGTTCCAAGTGTCAGTCAGTCATTAGACTATGTTTGGGTTGTGACAGTCCGCCCAATGCAGCTTTCAGTCCGCTGTTTTGAGAGGGAGTACATATGGGGGGTCGTCCCATTGATTGTGCTTTTTCAGCACATTATCTTCCAACAGGACTTGCATAAATCAGGACCCTGCTGAGAGTCCAGGCAAAGTTTGTCCCGAACCGTTCTGAGGAGAGGTCCATGAGTTGTTGGTGGGTGAACCACTTAAAACTTGTTTTGGATCTAAGAGCTCTTGTCTTTGGATCAATCAGCAAGATAACCGGTACGACTCCATTCGGGAATGATAGGGACTGAGGTAGCACAACCCCCAGAGCTCCTATAGTCCCTGTCTCTGCAACCCAATACTTGAGCCTTTTGAGGGTGACTGCCGTAGACGGTTTGCCCCTCCACCCATCAACAGTGAGACCATTCGGCGACACTTTGGCCCCTTGTTGTATGTCCTATTGGGGTGGTCTGATTCCTACCACGCATTCCCCTCTTTCTCTTACTCAGGTGAGCGGGAGGATGACTACTCCAGAAGGCATTTCCTTCGGTATGCTTCCATCGTCCTCAAGCCTCCCCAAGTCCCTCAATTTTTTGGGGGGGATGTCCACGCTGGAGTCCTTGTCTGTGGATTCTTCATCATCGTGAATTATCATGATTTTGTGGCCCTGGCGTTGGACGAGGGGGAGAGGCTAGTCGTTGTGGGGAGGGAGGGGGTGGGGAGGGAGGGGGTGGGGGTGGTTGTTGTTGCTCCTGCAGGTTCGGGTGCTCTAAGCATAGGAGTGATTGCCCCCCATCCCGGTGCCCCTTTTGCTGTGGGAGTGAGTGCAGCGTTGTGCAGACCTCGTGTATGAGTTGTGCAAAGCTGGTGCATGAGCACTTTGGGCCACGCCAAACCTTCATGGATGAAGGCATCGTTTTGGGAGTCTCCCTGACCCCGGATGTCGTTGGTGGTGCCCCTTTGGAAGCACAAATTAGCATAGTTTTCGATCTTATCCAGGAAGTCATTCACGACGAGGACGATGGCTGTCCCCACATCCATCCAATCAATTTCTGAGACAACCTTGTATTTTTCCACCGTGACTAAAACTCTCGGGCTGTACATCAGCACCCTTTTGGCCTCACCCCAGTATCTGTCACCTAGTTTGTCAGCCGGTTTGTCATCCGTCAACGAGAAAACCTTTGTGAGGGTCCAGTCTGTTAGGAACGCCAGTTTTTGGTGAACTTCGTCATTAGCCGATAGCGGAGGGGGGCCGCCTTCTCCCGGGGGAGAGCTTTGCGGTGGGACGAGCTCCACATCCATATTCTCGAGCGGGACTTGGTGCTGCTCTGGSTGAGCAGGTTCGGGGGCGGGGGGGGGGGGGKGCTGAAGTATCCATATCATGTGGCTCCTGCTGTCCGTCGTACCAACCCGGCAGGGTAATGGATGGGCATTCGGGCATATAGGATATTTGTTGTTGTTGGGCCATTTGCCTTTCCATTTCCTGTTGCCAGAAAATTTGCAGCTGGAACTGTTGTTGCTGCTGGACGTGTTGCTGTTGGCAGCACAGTTGCTGCTGCCATTGCATGTGCAGGTGCTGTAGTGTCTGTTGCTGGAGCAGTAGTCTGTCGTGGTACTGCTGGTGTTGGTACTGTGCCGCCGGTGCTGCGACCTGATTTGCATGTTTTGTGGGCACTGTTCATGCACTAGCTGTTAGCTTTCTAACTGGCCTTGGTGTTGGGGGTGTAGTGGCAGCAGTACCAGTGCGCGCTGTTGGGCCTGCGGAAGGAGTTGCGATCCCATCCGCCTTCGTTCTTAGCGTATAAACCAGGTCGGATTGCGGCGAAGGGGGCATTGGCAGAGCAGTTTTGGCTGAGGGGTGAACTCGGTCCAAATGAGCAACGGGTCCGTTATCCTTATCGATTGGTACCGGTCCATTGGTCATTCGGTTGTTTTTGTTTTCAGGGCAGTGGTTCACCGCGGCTGCTTACCCCTGTTTCTGTTCTGTGTCGGTTCCGGAGTAGCCCCCCTTCTGCCCTTTTGTTTGGGGTCATTGTCAATTATGCATTTAGCTCCAATAGGAAAGGCCAAGGGCCTGCCTTTGCCCTGCCAAATCCACTTACCCGGGCGCCCATCTGCATATGCCCTGCAGGACGTGTTGCTGTTGGCAGCACAGTTGCTGCTGCCATTGCATGTGCAGGTGCTGCAGTGTCTGTTGCTGGAGCAGTAGTCTGCCGTGGTACTGCTGGTGATGGTACTGTGCCACCTGTGCTTGCAGCAGTTTGTGGAGGTGCTCCTCGCACTCTCTCTGCTGTAGGTCTTGCATCTGCTGTTGTTGGTGGGCTTACTCATGTGTGTGTTGTAACAACTGAAGATGCATGTGTTGCTGCATCAGGAGTTCCTGTTGGTGTTGCTGCTGCATATGCATATTTGTAAGTTGTTGGGCCTGCTTCGTGTGGTTCTGTTGCGGGAGCTGCTGCCGGAACTGCATCTGCTGTTGACATTGATCGTGCACTGGTTGTTGGCATTGTAACTGGCCTTGCTGTTGAGGATGTTGTGGCTGCGTAGCCAGCTCGTGCTGTTGGGCCTGTGGCACAGCAATCTGTTGTTTGTGCATGGTCCCCACCTGCTGTTGGCAGTGCTCCAGCCATTGTTGTTGTTGTTGTTGTTGTTGTTGGGGCGAAGCCGAGCACTGTTGCTGGCTGAGCAGTGCAGTTGATGACACGACTCTTGCAGATGTTGTTGCTGCATCGTGTGTGTCTGTAGATAGGACTGTTGTGCCGTCGACTGTTGCTGTTGCTGCAGGAGTTGCTGGACTTGCTGGACTTGCTGCACAGCCTGCACATGCTGTTGAGCTTGTGACAAGTCGACCAGCGGTCCCTGCGAGGGCTGCATATGCTCTTGACAGTGCCCCTGTTGGAGATGCTGGACTTGCTCCACATCCTGCGCATGCTGTCGAGCTTGTGACAGGTCAACCAGCAGTCCCTGCGAGGCTGCATATGTTCTTGATAGTGCCCTGGTTGGTGTTGTTGAATCGTGGGAGGGCACCATTGAACGGGCCTCTCTTGTAACTCCATTGCGGGTTGGTGTTCATGCTTGGAGGGCTTCTGAGCATCGGTGTGTTCCTCCAGCGGGCTTCGGAGGTCAGGTGGCTGGGGGGGCGGCTGCAGCTGCATTTGTGGCTGCTTTTGGGGCTTATCGGTGTCCCATTCTATAAGCCCTTTGCTGTCTCCCCCCAGTGCCAGTGTCATCTTTGATGGGATTTGGAGAAACTTTGTCTCCCCTGTAAGTACAGAAACTACCTCTTTGAGCCTAATGTCCCCCTCCTTTCCCGAGCTGGGAGAACTGACAGTGTCCAAGAGCGGGAGGTGAGGGCTCCCAGATTGCTTGCCCTCCCGGAGTTCGCACTGCGTCAGCTGCTGGGACTGAGGCACGGGATGCACCGGTAGCTGCTGCTGCGTCAGCGGGGACTGTTCTCGCCGGTCGGCAGGCTGCAATTTCGGGCGCCCATCCTGTGATAGGATCATCCCGCCCCGTTGCCCCTCCAATTGCAAGGGGGTCGGGGACCAGGGCAATACAAGATGAGGGCTCCCGAGACGTGGGGGGTCCCCATGCGCGGTCGGTCCCAGGTCTTTGTGTTGGGCAGTGAGGGGGAATGGCTCAGGTGGGTCATTCTGTCGTGGCTTTTCCCAGTGTTGGGAAAAAGCCACATCTTTTATTTTATGAAGGAGCGAGTTTTCTGCCACATCTGCTGAGCATTTAGGGATTTCGTATTTCCCTCCTCCTCTCTCTTGGGTGTCCCTCTGTCATCCAGGTTTGGTATGTCTTTGGCCAATACCTGCATAGGTCGTGGAGGCAGGGAGGAGGGTTGGGCTTCAGTTGCGGGTCGCTGTAGCTTTCTTCCTTCCAGCACGACAGCTGTCGGGTCAGTCCGTCCCGATTCGAAGGACCGCGAAGGCTGCAGGGCGGGCCGGCTTGGTGGTTGGCCGGGACCCCCGTCATTCCCTCCCGAAACTTGAGCCGATATGGTTGCAGGGGCAGAAGGCCTCTGGTGCGAGATAGGCCGCTTGTCTCCTCCCAGTTGCGGTTGGGTCCTCGTACCATTGTCGACATCCACGGGAGTCAGGGGTGGCGGGGGCGCAGTCCGATTCACAGTCCGATCCTCCCTCATTCCGAATTTGTCCTGAAGGTGTCCGATGACTACTGTGCTTGTCGCAGTTCGTGGAGGTGCTCCTCGCACTCCCTCCGCTGCAGGTCCTGCATCTGCTGTTACTGGTGGACCTGTGTCTGTATGTTTTGCACCAGATGGAGATGCATGTGCTACTGCTTTGGGAGTTCCTGTTATTTTTGCTGCTGCATGTACATATGTATTAGTTGTTTGGCCATCTCTGCTTGGGTCAGTTCGTGGAGGTGCTCCTCGCACTTCCTCCGCTGCAGGTCCTGCATCTACTGTTACTGGTGGACCTGTGCCTATATGTGTTGCACCACATGGAGATGCATGTGCTACTGCTTTAGGAGTTTCTGTTATTTTTGCTGCTGCATGTACATACGTATCGGTTGTTTGGCCAGCTCTGTTTGGGTCTGTTGCCGGTGCTGCGACCTGATTTGCATCTTTTGTGGGCACTGTTCGTGCACTTAGCTTTGTAACTGGCCTCGGTGTTGGTGGTGTAGTGGCAGCAGTACCAGTGTGCGTTGTTGGGCCTGTGGAAGGAGTTGCGATCCCATCCGCCTTCGTTCTTAGCTTATAGACTAGGACAGATTTCGGCGAAGAGGGCATTGGCAGAGCAGTTTTGGCTGAGGGGTGAACTCGGTCCAAATGAGCAACGGGTCCGTTATCCTTATCGATTGTTACCGGTCCATTGGTCATTCAATTGTTTTTGTTTTCAAGACCGTGGTTTTGCCGCGATTGCTTACCCCTGTTTTCGTTCTGTGTCGGTTTCGGAGTAGCCCCCCTTCTGCCTTTTTGTTTGGGGTCATTGTCAATTATGCATTTAGCTCCAACAGGAAAGGCCAAGGGCCTGCCTTTGCCCTGCCAAATCCACTTACCCGGGCACCGATCTGCATATGCCCTGAGGGTCCAGCCTTCAAGCTCTTTTTCCTCCGGGTACCACCTTTCCACATCCTGGGGATGGGGAACTACCAGCCCCTTGACCTTCGTCCTCTGGTTTTTAGGACAAGCCACATCCGAGCTGAGGTGGCCTCTTTCCTTGCAGGTACAACACCACGGGTCTTGGGTGTCGCTGATTGGGACCAAAAATTATCTCCCTGCATGAGAGTATCTCCACTCTTCATTAAGAGGGAAAGGATTGGACGGGTCCCAGTCCACTGCCACAAGAAGGGAGTCGTCTCTCCTGCCTAAAAACTGGGGCAAGTCAGTCATATATTCTTTGACGTGGGCAATATTTTCCAAGTCAGTGAGGATTGCCCCCTGACCACACAGCAGGGCGAATCTGAACTCAGCCTAAAAGTTGGATGTCAAGAGGTATTCCCTTCTTTCATCAGTGGACTGCGGGTTGGCCGGGGGCCATGCCCCCACTCGCACCAGAGTCCCTCTGAACTGCAGTGTTTTGTTTTTCATCAGCAAATGTTTGTCTGTAGAATAGAGGGCAATTACTGTTATGCAGTCCTGGTTGTCCACTTCTATAACCAGCTGCCGGTCCGGTTTGATGGATCCCAATCTGTCCCTGATCCATTTGACTTTTTCATTGATTGGCAGGGCGGAATGTATGGGAAGACAGCGGAAGTGCACTACTTTTTGTGCGTATATCATGTCCCTTCTAGTCCTTGCCTGTGTCGGAAAAATGGAATGCGGGTAGATATAGCCGTCTCGAACTTGGAATTTCCTCTCCGGCTCTACATACAGTTGTTGTATGATGTGGCTCTTGAGCGGGGCCATGGAGTCCAGAGTGGTGGATCTTGTTGCCTCCGATGGTGCGGGAGCTGAAAGTGCTTTTAGCAATTTTGGAGGCGGCTTTCTTGAAGTATCCGATGTGGATGGGCTGTCCTGGGACTGTAGGTCCGTGGGTACCAGTTTGTCCTTCCACGTGGTCTCTTTATTGGCCCCGTTTGTTCCTTCTCCAATCGACGACTTTCCTGTCTGGGTTTCTTCACCACCCTGTTGCTCGCTTTTGGACGCCTCGTGTGTCTTTGTTATTGCTTGTGAGGCGTCTGACCTGGCAGAGGGAGAGGGATTGGTAGGCCGCTGCGCATGTGTCAGATCTTTTGATAACCTCGATGGCGTGGTGCCCTCCACTGTAGGCGGGTCGACCTGACAACCCGCCCCATGGATCTGCTGTTTGTTCGTGACTTCGTTTTCGCTGTGTACCTTTTTTTCTCCCCCTTTCACAGGTCCTGTGGTCGTCTGGGTATGGTGGGGGGGGGGTTGGCAGGCCGCCCCGATCGGCAGCACATATTGTTGCTTGAGATGATTCTGCAAATTTTTTAGGTGTTGCCATCCTACTCCGTACCAGGTGTAGGGGGCGGTTTAGGTAGTAAAACCTATTGATTTATTCTGGATTATTTAGAGATATTTCGCGGTATTATTCAATCCGTCTTGGCCAATGCGGCTGTTGTTTCGTCTTGACTTAGGTCAATCTGGATGAATTGGGGGGCGAGGGAAAGGGGAGAGGGGAGAGGAGAGAAGGAGAGGTAGAGGTCCAAGTGAAATGTATGGGCTGTTGTTTCGATTCGGACTTTAGGTCAATCTGTATGAATCGGGGTGAGGTAGGGAGGAGAGAGGAGAGAGGGAGAGGTAAGGGTCGACGTGCAAGTGAGATGCATGGGAGTTGGGGGCATGGGGATGATCGCGGGATTTCACCAGGATGGAAGACATGACTTCCTCTGTAGACCAGGCAAAATTTGCGTCTCCTTGTGTGCGTCGCCTCCGTCTTCTGTGTAATGTCCAGCGCCGCCTCTGCACATGCCTCCCCTCATCACCACCTTTTCCACGTATTGTTTGCCTGTCCCTCCAGTCAAACCTCTCTATCACTCGCTGCACGACCACCTCCCTCCCGTCCCAATTGGATCTTCTAATATGCTCTCTGTACGTCCTCACCACTATTACACAAATCCTTTGTTCCCTCACGTATGTCCATTCGCACGCTGTACAACCTCCTCCCGTCGCCGCCCTCTTCGATCGTCTAGATTTGATCGCTGACCGTCCTCCCCACCCCTCGACAGATGTTTAGCACCCTCACGTGCTCACCTTTTCCTGTCCTCCTTATCCGCGTTGTATCGTTTGCATGTCCCTCCGGTCAAACCTCTCCTTCACTCGCTGTACGACTTCCACCCTCCCATCCCAATTGGATCTTCTAATAAGCTTTCTGTACGTCAAATTCTGTCCATGTAAGGGACACTGGACCCGGTTTCCAGCAGGTGTCGCTCCCCACCAATAGATGGAGCCCCCCCAGGTGTTAGCGGTGGCTGCTCTTATCAGCACCACTAGCACTAACGGGGACATGTCTGAAAAAAAAAAAAAAANAAAAAAAAAAAAAAAAAAAAAAAAAGTCTTCACCACCCTAACACAAATCCTTTGTTCCCTCACGTATGTCCATTCGCACGCTTTACGTCCTCCTTACGTCTCCCCCCGATCTTCCAGATGGATTGCTGACCATCCTCCCCACGCCTCCACAGATACTTAGCACCCGGTCGGGCTCACCTTTTCCTGTCCTCCTTATCCCACGATCTTCTTCGAGTGTGTCTCGGCCAACTCTCCTCTAACTTCTGGATAACTTTTTCCGGTCTGCTGTTTCCTGCCACATCACCGGAGTCGATGTCTACTGCCCTGTTGGTGACAGTTCTCGGGTGCACGTTAACTTGTATCCTCTCCATGATGTGTGTCCTTCTCTCGCCGGTAACTCATCGCGCTGGCGTCACTGCATCAACAACAACGTGCACGGGACTCTGCCCGCTTCAGGCTGGCGAGGCCTGGGTTGGCAGTGCTCAAACCACGTCCAGTTGGATAGGCACCGTGGCCACCATCTTTCCGTGGTTCGTGTGTGTCCTGCCGGACGGGCCATGCCGTCTGCGGGACGCAAGGCGCTAGTGCTCCCTCGAAACCTGTGCACTGTCCTACACGTGTCACACACATAGAATGAAGTCTTGTCCCATGGCTACTG